CTTCCTGCCTTATAGAATTAAGTGGCATCATATCAATCACCTTACACATCATGGTGCGATCAAATCTATCTATAATTTTGTTGTGGAAAAAACAACATAGACAAAAGCAGAAAACAGGTCAATCAAATAACTGAATAAATAAAACTCTTAGCATACATATGCAGTGAAGGAACTAAAAATAGATAACAATGTATAAATAGGTTAACAAGTGGTAAGGGATCGAACAAGAAAGGACTGAAGCAGGTGGTTTAAGCATATTTTGGTAAAAGATACTGCTGCTACGACTTTCTGTGACTTTTATGTTATTGTCTGAAGGTAGATATTAGAAACCTTACCTAGAAAAGTAAAAAAAAAAATCTAGAAAAAAATTATTTAAACAGATAATTAAAGTATTTTTTTCAACAAACTAAATCGGCATGGATTTTACTGTATTACATCTGAAAAGACAGAATATTTGGAATGAATCCATCTCAGTTTCACTTTAAAAAAAATAAAGCAGCACCACAGCTTGGATAGATATCTGTAATCTGCTTCCAAGATGCTTCTTCTATTTCTTCCCATTGTGGAAATTTAATTTTCAAAGTGCTTCCTTTCCGGTTCACTTCAATCAGCAGGTTTCAGGTCTCATGTTGAGCAGCTAAAAATACACGACATGCCTTGCCCACTAAAGAATAAATGTAATTCACATAGACTGAACCAATATATCTTTGTCTCTTTTAGACAGTTTAAAGAAAGAAATTATGCACATCTGTTAAATATTACTTAGAGTAATAACAATGACACAGTGAAATATACCAGGTTGTGGAATAAGCGAAAATCATAACTGAATGGGCTTTGACAAGGGTGTTTTCCACTCTCAAATCAGGGCATGTTATACAAACACCACAATCTCATATCAATTGTTGTAATTGACTCTAGGACTGAATCTGCACTATAAGTTGTATGAGGATCGTTCAAAGACCTGAGGCTAGATTAGGCTCCAGACTACAAACAAAATAGACTGTATTTTGCAGAAACAGCAACACAGACAGGATGAGCAAGTTAAAAGAAAGACACCAAACATGACTTGACAAGAACATTGAGAATGAGGGAGGTTGTCATCGAGCAATTGAGATCCTGAGGCCAAACATACTGTCAAGCTAAATAACTGACAAAACTAACATGAGATGATTCCATAGAGACAAAATAGTGTGCAGGGAGACCACAAGGAAACAGAAAAACAAATAAAAGATCTAGGGAAAAAACAAAACAAAAAAACAGGTACATGTAATGTACGGTAGCAAGAAATACTAAACCAACACAAACAGTATTAGAAAAACAGAACACATTGGTGTGGTTTAGTTAATAAATGGCGATTAACACTTGTGAAACTTTTAATGCATTGCTTAATATCATAACACCCCAACAAAAACAAACAAACAGAAAAAATAATACAAAGGTTGGTCGGTCAATGGTGACTATTATTTTGAATAAATCAAAATGCTACATTCACAGGTATTGAGCTTTGGTAGGGACTTTCAATCAGTAAATATATTAAATTTAGTAAACTAGTATCTACAGTACACATTGCCACTTAACTGCATCTGGACCGTGAAAGTGATGTGTTAACTAAATATTGTGCATTTACTTTTATTAATTAAGTATTAATACCTTTCTTATTAGCTTTATTTCAAAAATTGATAAAACTCCTAACAATGTACAGTCTAAGGGGTCCTAGACTTGTTTATAATGGGTAATGTCTCCGTAAGTAAAAAGGTTTTCAGGTAGTACTACTCTGGCAGATATTTTACAGCAACAGTACAACAGGACTCAAGCCGTTCTCACAAATATAGATCTTAGTGAATGTTATATCATCAGAGCTGTTGTGATAAACTGCTCTTTTCCACTTTCCATGATTTGTACCTCATTCCGAATTTCACAAACATAGCACTACCTCAAACACTTAACTTTTTAACTTATTTTATACATACAGCATTGTTCTTAGCTTGCATTGGTAAATGTTGCAAGATAATCAATGTTTTTTTTTCTGTTTTTTTTTTTTTTTTTTTAAGTTGCAACTGTCTAGATCAGTTAAAGGAATAGTACACCCAAAACATGATTAGCCTTAATTTTCTACTCACCCCCATGCTGAACAACACTCTGGAGTACTTTTTTGATATCTCAAATGCATCTGGAGATCTGGGAGGCTTCTTGCTGTCTGCTGACATTCAAATAATGGAGGTCTATGGTGCCCGAGACAGAAAGGTCCATAAAAGTCCACAAAAAATGTGTCAATATTCCTCCATACTGCTCGTCCAATGTATTCAAAGTGTCCTGAGTGGGTAGCATCCAGAATTTACTCGAAACGAAGTCATTTAGAATGTTTTTAGAGCATAAACAAACCAGATGAACCAAACCAGATGAAAGTGCGCATTCAGCGTCTGCTCTGCCAATAATGCAAGCGTAGAAGAAGAAATGTGCTGTTTACCTGTGCAAAGAAAGAACGAAAGAAAAATGTCTGAGAACTTCAGTGTTGAGGAAGAGCATGAGTTCTTTGCCGAGCTGAATGCGCTGGTTTGGTCTGCCAGCTTCCGTAGCGTCGTGAACGCGCATGTGCGCGCTTTCAGGAAATCCTATACACTACTGTTTATGCTCTAAAAACATTCTAAATGACTTCGTTTCGAGTAAATTCTGGATGCTACCCACTCAGGACACTTGGAATATATTGGACGAGCAGTATTGAGGAATATTGACACGTTTTTTTTGGACTTTTATGGACCTTTCTGCCTCGGGCGCAATAGACCTCCATTATTTGAATGTCAGCAGACAGCAAGAAGCCTCCCAGATCTCCAGATGCATTTGAGATATCAAAAAAGTACTCCAGAGTGTTGTTCAGCATGGGGGTGAGTAGAAAATGAAGGCTAATCATGTTTTGGGTGTACTATTCCTTTAAATGGGATTCCAAGAGTAATATTCAAGAGTTTTGATTTTGGAGACACATAGGTGGCCAGTACCATTTACAATAAGCTGCCTCAGTTGCGTTGTTGTATTTTTTTTTTAATCTTTTTTTTAAATTCCCCCTTCCATTTTGCTCATGTTTGGAGCTCACTGTGTGGTGTGGAGGCTGCAGCGCCTCAGACTGGAAGAATGTGAGAAGCATGGTGAGAACAGTAGAATGGATAATCAGGGCTCCTCTTCCCTCCATAAAAGACATTTCATCTCAGCTCTGAGTGTCCCGAGCCCATAACATCGTCAGTGCTCCCTCACACCCCCACCATGGACTGTTCTCCCTGCAGCCCTTTGGGAAGAGGCTTCGCAGCATTTAATGCAGGTCCAGCAGATTCTGCAGCTTTTTCCCCACTGCCATCAGACTGCTGAACTGTTGAAAATAAAAATAAAAACTCTAAATGAAGTCACAAATCGGGACTCTGCATCACACTGCTAAAGTTTAACAACCAAATAGAACTCAACTCAAAACATTTTTGCACCACATATATTTGTTTTTGCACTGCCCTGAATTTCTGCTTTTGCACATTTTTTTTTTGCCTGCACTCTTAACATTCGATCACTGCTGCACTTTCCCTGTGTATGCAAAATGACAAAAAAAAAATATAACAACTGAACTTTATTGATCTCACATTGGAGAAATGTATCTCTGCATTTAACCCATCCCATTGGGGAGCAGTGGGGTGCCATCGTGGGGCACCCGAGAGCAATCGGGGGGGTTAAGGGTCTTGCTCAGAGACCCATAGCGGCAGTCTGTGGGAGTGGGGCTTGAACTCAGAACCTCAGAATTCCAAGCTCTATGCCCCAACAACTAGGCTGCCACTCCCTTAAAGATGTCTAAGTCTAAGCATAGATCCATTTTCTTGAACAGTTTATTTTTTACTATTACATCCCTCAATATTTATACAAACTAATGCATCTTCATTTTTACCATGTCATGGTTGAGCTCTTTATCAATCATCTCAACCTACATCTCTTGAAATGAAGACCTTTAAAAAAAGATGAAACAAACTAAATCCAAATAATATCTACTTATAATATGGTCAACAGCTCCTTTGTCCTAGTATCAGTTAATGCAATCCGTGCAATTCACTGCAAAATGATAAGGAAACTTATTTTACCTGACAACTAAAAATTTGAATTTCATAAATTGTGGGACAAAAATGAAAAACAGTTGATGCAATAGTAAAAACTGGGAGAGCACACCCAACTTTAAACTATCCTTTCATTACCAAGTACAGCAATGAATTGTCGTTGCTTTCAAAAATAAAAAGATTGTATTCTTAAAGAGCTGCTTGGGTTTCTAATCATTGCTCTTAAGGCTGGTCATCCTTTTGGTAAGTGGCATTGCAAGTGTAGACATACCTAAAATAATGCTAATCTTTTTCATCTCTTTACAAAGCATTGTTAAATGTCTTTTCATGCACATACAAAAACCCTCAACCTAATTAATAGCAAGCTTTCAGCACTTTATGTAGGATCAGCAAGTTAAACATACCAGTGTAGAGTGACATACACAAAGATATTTTATTCACACAACAAACGCCCTTTTTAAAGCCTGTCACGTGGTTTTTACATAAATGACTCATGATCCTGTATTTAACAACCTCTTCAAGGAGCTTGCAGGTATGAACACATCATTTTCTCTTGGCAGAGTCTTTAAGCATTGCTGCACAAGTTGTCCTTAAGATTAACGCTTTTAAGTAAGAGCTGACTTTATGATAACACTAACCACAGTCACTATGCCACACTGCACTTTATCCTATGGATCAATTAACTCCCAATATTTCCCTCCTCAAAGTTTAATTCATACTCACAAATTCTGCTTTTGTATTTAATCACCAAACAGACAGTTAAGTAGAAGCAGTCCCGCACCCCTGTGTGGCTTACTTTCAATGGTTTGTTGTACCGGTTCATACTGTAGGGAGTGTGGTGTTTTCACCAAATGCACTGCTCCTCCCATTATTCTGTTCCCCCTCGTTCCACTTGTGTTAAGCAACACCACCCTTATTCTAGTGGGGCAGTCCCGCTTTCTATCTCTCCCCCATGCACAACCAATGCTCGTCGGCTCGCTCTCACTTCCTTGCTCAATTACTCTCTCATTTCACACTGTCTTCTGTCATCTCTCCCTTAGAGCTATCTCACTCCTTCTCCAAACACTCTAAACCTCCTCTGCAAACCAACCATTTACGGTAAGATGAAAACGCTCTATGCTGCATGCAGTCCTTTACCAGTCATTACCAACAGTATTTTTCAAATTTAGATATGCATTAAGATGTTAAATAAGCAGTTTTAATTTGATTATACTAATATACAATAATTACTCTAACCATACTACGGCACTGATCAATCTAATCTACTGTATTGTGAAAATATGTTAACTTCTACTAATCCTGAGAAGAACTAACTTGATAAGGCAAAGAAGATTATATTTCTAAAAGTGTGGGATCCTTAATCAAGGATTTATGCATTTATAAGTACACTGTAGACATTTCATTCATGCAGTGGTGAGTTTCCTTGAGGACAGCACGGTATTATGTTTACATTATGATGGTGGTGGAGACGGAGTCTGATGGGAGTGTGCAAGAACATGTTTTTTTTTCCAAGTTAAATGCATGCTCAATTAAATTTTGCAGTGGGATGAATTTACAATGGTAAGTTAAGTTTTGCTTTCAAAATGTGCAATAAAAAAAAACTGATGAATAGATACATTTAGAGAGGAGCGTTACTCTAAGCAGATGGAGATATGGAGCAAAAAAGTCTTAGTATGCATAACACATGATTCATATATGCACAGTACAACATGCTTACTTGAGGAAAAAGGCCACATATGGACAGGAAAAATGTACAATTGATCCATACATGCCCCATCAAAAAAACTGTTTTTTCACTTGCAAGTAAGATGTTTACATGCACAGAGTAAGATTAACAAATAACATGTGCCTGCATCTTGATGCACGCACAAGCACATCTTCAATTGACATCTGCTTGTGGTGTGTGAACCTGCTGGTATTTCCGTGTTTTTTTTTTAAACCCTTCAAAATTCATACATCACCATCATTTGACCATATATCATGATTTTAGACTACCCAATATCAATCTTTCAGTTCCTTGTATCAATGAGAGAAAAACCCAAAACATTTTTACCTAAAACAATGAGGGAAAATGGGCTACCCCTGAACTGCCTCTCTGGCAGATAGAGCTGTGGAGCCCTTTTACTGTGCAGCGGCATAACTGTATTTGAGGCAGTCACAGTGAAAGACGTGGACTGACTCAAACCCCAAATAACATGGATACAAAAAAATAACTAAATGATCAATACCTTCTGATGAACATATACAGCACTTGCCTTTCACAGCAATGTTTTTTTTATCTGTACACTTCATTTGATGGCTGGGGAAAAATATTGCAATCTATAGGGATATTGTAATATCGTGATAATAACATATTGTAACCCAAGTATTGTGACACATATCACTACACCCATGCCAATTCTCACCCCCTAATCACAACTAGTTTCTAAGTCAAGATATAATGGTTTCTTCATTTGAAAATAACTTGAAAATCTGGTTCAGTACATGCGCAAATCTTGAGTGCATGGTTGAATCCTGGGGGGCATGTGTAAATCGACCTGTGCATGTGTACATATTGTCCTATAATTGATTAGATTTAAAAGTACTTTTTGAAAATAACAAGGCATAAAGAAGTAGGAAGGAATTAGGAAGGATTTACTGACAGAATGTAATATATTATACACAAGTACGTTAATTATCCTCTAGGAACTGAAAATCTCAATCTTGCATTTATGGAGGCAGACATCTTTGCGCTATGGCAACGCTGAGCTGACAAGCTAGTGACTGTAGAGGTAGCCATTATGTTCAACTGTGGCAAGTTGAGAGGGTTGCACAGATAGATGGCAGCAACACACCAAAAAATGCTATTATTTTCCAGCATTTATACTTATTCAGCAACAGCCCTGATATTTCATATGTAATAAGAAGTGTTGCATCAATACCAATACCAGTATTGGGTGTGGCCTCGAACCAGCACTAAAAGGCAGCAGTTTGACAAAGCCAAGATGGGAAATATTTTACACGCAAGTAGTATGAAGTTCTTCATATATATACACACATCAATTTTAAACAGATGGTATCAGTATGGTATTGGGGCCAAAAAATGTAATTGGCGCAACAATAGTAATAAGTATTGATGTTACTTAGAGATTACTCCTCAAACTACTGAAACCAGCAACTTTACTACCTGTAATCCTCAGAGCTGTAAATAAAACATCTTGAATTAGGATTATTACTATTGCAGAGACCATGTAGGTAAAGGTCAAAATACTATTCTGGATAGATACCTTTGTTACTTATCTCTGCCACCTATGGAGAGCTTCAGATCTTGCCTCCTCTGCTCCAGTCATCCCGCTAGCACCTCTCCCTTGCCTGGCCATGGCTGTGTGCCATGCCCACTGGGGCCTCTTTGCCAACTTCCTCTTTTTCTTCCCCTTTCTTATCCAATACAACCCCTGAGCAACAGTCAAGACCTGGAATCTGTAAACAGGAAATATAAATGCCTCATACCAACCAACCCAATCTCACTATCAAAGTCAAACGTGCGCTTCTCAAATGTGAAACACAATAAGAATACACATTGTGGATTAACCGATCTATCTTCAAGCATCACACGATGACCATCACCAAGACTTCGATAATGCGGTTTTACTGGCTTTGGTCATTAACATGGACGCGACAGCAACTGCTGCTGTGTAATGTCCCCACTCACCATATCAGCAGGGTTGCCAGATCTCACTCACGTTTTTCAGCCCAAAGAATGTTCATAAACTGCCTGTATATATGAAATCTCACCAAATTTCAAACAAAGTCTATTAATCTCTTTGGCCATAAATCTAAAGAAATTTTTTTTTTACCCATAGATGGCCATCCTAAACTGCCAGATTGGGAAACATCCCAACCTGGCAACAATGCACGTAAGACGGGAAACGTTAGCCTTTACCTCAACATATTTTTGCAAAATATTCAAATATAAAATCCCCCAAATATAAGAGGAACATTGTAGTTATGTTTAAAGAAAGAATTTTAGTTTTATTATTATTTAGTTTGTTGCAAAGAATATGCAGTTTGAAGAAATAGGATTTTACAGTTTGAAGAAATAGAAAATTACACCATATGCCAACCGTCACAAGGATGTACATGACAAGGAAGGGCTTTATATACTGCACGTATCATTTAGGTAGTTAAAATTTTACTACTTCTTGAACTCCTTAAATTATTTACTGTCACAGGTAGGTGCTTCGGCCGGAGAGTCGGTATGATTTAAGGAGGGCCAGCCCTCGCACTTGAAATTAGGACTGGCCTACCGGGCAAATGGCCGGTATCACAGATTACCAGTCCGAGCCTGCTGCATCTTAAACTATAGCTTTATTCCTTAGCTTGCATCCATGCTTAAGATCTTGCAGCATGCTCTTGCATTGCAAAATCAGAACAAAAGTGGATAAGAACTCATTATTCCTCACTTTTAATAGTAAAGGTCATTATCCTTCAGTTTATACTGAGGCGTTGAAAGGAGGAAAGCTTGTTTGATGTAAAAGGAGAGGCATGAAGGATTATTAACAGGTTCTTCAAAATAAAGGAGTGTACCCATACTCCTAAACCACAACGATATGGAGACACACAGCAGTCTCTAGGCCCCTACGATATGGAGACACACAGCAGTCTCTAGGCCCCTACCTTTGAGGGAGTCTTTCCTTTATTAAGTTTTTACTAAAATGATTTTCAATAACAAAATTGTTTTCTGCCCAAAATAAAAAATAAAACCTAATTATGAATTCCCTGTCGGCTGCACTGTCTCCCTAACTTTAAAGCCTTAGTGACAACCATTTGGCCATCTTTGTATTGGCACTAGCCAATAGCCCAGATTTTTGTTACGACACAATTTCTACAAAAACAAACACGATTGTTAGATAATTTACTTATAAGGAACCCCAATAAAAGGAGATTTCTCTAACCCCCTACTTAGAGACCTCTATGTGTAGAGAGGTATGTTCAAGTTATGAGGACTTTAAGGAGGCCTTGCTCAAGTTTAATGTTAAATATCACATTTTTAATTCCTCAATTTTTAAAAACTAGTAATGACTGTTGTGCATGTTAAATACTGCCTTCCGTATAACCTACTACAGTACTTTCAAGCCCAAATAATGCTTAATTTATTCATAGGCATCTGATTTGGTATAGAATTTTAAGTAATAACGAATTAACCCAGTTTATAAATAAGCAAATCATGTTTACCTTTTTTAAATTACTTTACGTTACTAAAAAAAATATGAGGGATCCCCTCTTAAGAAGGGCATTGAAGTAACATGTAATAATCACAACTGCTGTGTTACAATGATAATAGCTTCTTAAACACCAAATAGCAAATCTCTGAATTAAAAATGTTGCAGGATATTTTGTTAGTATCAAACCTTCAATTTTGAGATTGAAAAAAAAAAATCCAGTAATAGAAAATGATGAGGAAAAAAAAAAGAAACATATCAATTTATCTGATATAACATTCACTGAGATTTTTTTTGGCTTTATTTCATTGAACAATTACGTAATTTATTTAGCTACAGTGTCACATATCTATCTTTATCTCAAATAGATTGTTTTTTGACAGTAATCCCAAAGATTGCCCAAGACTTTGCCGTGCCAGGAATGGTGTTTTATTTCTACATTTTTTTTCTCCAGATGTGTCTACACCAAAGCCTGCTTCATCTGGAGAGAAACACTCCTTTTTCTCACTCAATATAAACAACATAGGCAGAGCGGTTGCAGGCATACAACAACTCTAGAGAAATGTTTATACATAGCATATTTTTTGGGTTTTTATGTAGACAAAAAGTTGCATAAAATAACTGAAACCATATTTTAATCATCTAAAGCCACATACTTCCATGTGCAGGTCTATGAATATCTGTAAAAATGTTCTGAAGTTGCGCAAACATTTAAAGCTTTCTTTTCAGAAACGTTTGCCCGTTTGAAGAAGTTTGCCAAATTTCCATTTTTATTTCCTGATTACTTATATTTATCTGCAGCGATGTCTTAGCTGATGCATTACAGTGAAACTACACTTTAGAACAAGATGTACCACATAAAAAAAAAAAAAAAGTATTTCCTGGTTGTGTTTTTAACCTTTTTTCAGCTCATGTCCATCATTATTAGTGTTGCCAACATTTTCTCTGCTCAAAGTAAATAATGCTTACGGTCATTGTTTATCATCACTTTTCAAACCTCTACCAACATTAATATGAAAGCTAAGAGGCTTTTAGTGAGAGAGTCTTTTCTTTTACTCTGGTATGTTTTTCCAACAGGAAATGGCCTCCCAAAAGAAAATGGGCTATAAGTGTCGCATAGCAGGAGTGATGCTTCTTCTGCTTGGAAGTATTGCTGCTCTTGTTGTTGTTGCTGTCATCCAAGACAAGTTAAAGGTTGAGGAGTATGGATCAGAGGTGAACATACACACAAAAACACATACACAGATGTCCATGATACTCTGTCTTTAAAATGTCTTTGCAGCAACTTTCATTGGAGTTACATTTATTTCCATTGCCTAAACCTCACCCAAATCCTAATGTTGCAACATATCTAACCTTAACCTAAACACAATTGGGAATCAAATCCTAAGCCTAACATCTAACTAAAAAACAAGATGCAAAAAGGTGAGAAGAAACATGGGTTGCTCTGTTTTCAAACATCCAAAAATGGCCTCTCTTTGGGTTCCAAAAACTAACTCTTCCCTTCTAATACATTGACTGTCATTTATTTTAGTTAGTGCATTTATGCCAAAACATGATGTTTACTCTAACCCTAATTAAAACTGGTATATTTCTAATCCTAACATTTTTCAAAAAACACATACTTGTACTTTATAAAGTATTGTTTAACTTCTTCTGTGACTAAACTGTTTATCTTAATATAATCTAACACAAAGGTCCTGGAGGATGATGTGAAATGTACAATTTGAGAGTAAATTATTCTGGGCCTGAGTAAATTAGGTTACATTTCTCAAAAATAAATTCCACCATAAACATAAAAAAGAAGATGTTTACACTTTAAACCACTTAGTCATGGTATAAATAAGGACTTAATAAATAGAATAATAATAAATAGAAACTTCCTCTGGGTGACATCTCTAGCCAATCTGGTGACTAGTTAAACATTTTTGAGTGAAAAAAAAATCCAGATGCAGTCACTGATTTAGAACGTTGCAAATGAGTTTGACATAGAGTGTCTTGGTGCGTTGTCCACATTCATCTATCTTTTGGTGCTGCTCTGTGTTGGGAAATTCAGGTCCACAGAAACAGAGACTTGGTCACAAGTTTCATTTTTGCTATTTTTTTCTTTTATTTTGAGCTGTGGTAAGTGGAGATGCATTAAGAGTGAATCAGCTGCTCTTCTAGAGGAGTCTCAGAGTGAGATCTAGAGCTGTGATAAGCGTGTCATTCAGAGTTTGTCACTTGTCAGCATGTTTTGGGGTTGTTTTGGCTTAAGAGTGCTTGCTTCAGGTATAACTTAAAGTTAATTTACACCATACCTCTAAAGCTAAATTTAAAAAGGAATCTACTATATTAGGATAATAATAAAGAAATATGAACACACACATTTACACATTATAAAAAATTAGCTTTTAGAGTCTCATATTATGCATGCCCTAGCACACACTTCTTTTAAGAATATATGCAATGAAGTATATAACAGATACAGCCATACCTTTTTACATAACTGGTACATTTATGTGAAAACATTAAAAGCTAATCCTCTAGATCAGGGGTCACTAACCTTTTTAAGGCTTAGGGCCACTTCATTGGCACTGAGTCATACAGGCAGGGCTCCCAATACTGGCCCATGTAACACATATTTTTATAGTTTCTTTTAAATTAAAATTTTATTTTAGAAATTGTCATGTTGAAATGCTGTATAAACTATTAAAAAAGAACAATAGAATGAAATAAATTTCAAACTTAGCCCACTGGCGAGTTGTTCTATTTTCAGAAGACTCTGGTGGCACCCCATGTGCCCTTGGGCACCAAGTGGCCCCTTCTCTAGATGAATAAGTAAAGAAAAACATGTTTAACTTGTTTAATATTTGTTAAGTTTTGCAGTTTTACTGATTTTTTTATTTAAACTAGCAGTGGCACATGTGTTACATAATAATAATAAAAAAAAACCTGCACAATAGCACTTAGTCTTAGGTCCTCTGATATATTATTTTCTCCCATTAGCTCCCCCTAAAACTTCGTTAAACTTAGGTCGGTAAATGGATAATACTATTAGCATAGGCTGACAAAGATAAAAAGAACATGCTGCAGTTAGACACACCTTTGCTTCACAATACAAGGCAAAGTATTTGTTTTAGAATTTTTATTGTATATCAAGTGCATAAAACATTCAAATGCAGAGTCAATGTTTTTCTGTATGTCATTCACAGTATGGCATAGTAATCGACTCTGGTTCCTCACGTTCCAATGTGTACCTGTACGAATGGCCTGGGGAGAAGGAGAATGAGACTGGGGTAGTGAAAGAAAAAATGAACTGTGCAGTTAAAGGTACGTATGTGAAGTTTTTGGCTTTGTAGAATTTGGTCGAAATGTCGACTTTTAGAAAATTAGATTGTTTGCCATGTCTAACTGTTTTCCTTTAAGCTACTTATGTGATCTAAAGAAGACATTGTTAATGCAGATAATAAAATACATCTACTGTAAAGCACCCGGAAGTTTTTTGGTTTCATTCTTCAAAATGTAACACATATCACATGAACTGTTTTCAACAGGTCAAATACAATGTTTGCTTTTAAAGAAGTAATTCCAATACAGATTTGTGCCCCCAGGGGTCCCTATTTCAGAGCTGAAAGGCAATTCCAAGGATGATGAAACAACATTAAAAGCATTTCAAGACTGCATGGATCAAATAAAAAAACATATTCCTGAAGAGAAACACAAAACCACTCCCCTCTTTCTGGGGGCCACAGCTGGGATGCGTCTGTTACAGTAAGAGTAACCCAAACAATGCCTTTTTTCTTTAGACCTAGCCTCATTTAGTTCTTCCTGAGTCTCTCTGCGGCCTCATTTGCCAATAGAAAAGAAAGGAAGAGAGCATATTGTTGGCTTTGACAAGGCAAGGAAGAAAATCGAATCAGAAAACTACTGTTTTGCCTTTTTTTCATATTTTCTTACCCCTAAAAGTAAGAAAGAACAGACATTTTACAAATAATAGAAATCATGGGATAGCAATGTGTAACAATAACAGTAATAAAAACAGTAATAACTTTACCAATACAGGAGGGTTACTGCAGTAATCAACACATTTTTGGGGTTGGCAGAAAACATATTCCAAAGCATAAATGTTTAAAAAGTCTCTCGTTTTAAGTTATTAAGTGAAGCTTAGTTCCAACGTGTTTTCTTAAGAATTTGTTTTATTTTTTTTACCACATGAAGAAAAATATGCATTACATTGCTGACAAAAGAAGAATCTATATAAAGATGCTGTAAATACCACTCCAATGTCTTTGTGGAAAATATGAAATTGAAAATGTTTTTTGAGTTTAACATCTTACAGCAAATATCCAGAATCTGACAAACCATGCCCTTTGGATTATATTACAAAACTTTAAACTTTGGGTTAATTTAAAACAATATTAGGGACAAAACATATTCTGATATTTAGAAAAAGCAACTTAAGGTGTTTGTAGTGAAAATCTTTATTGTTGAAATCTGAACTTTTAAAATGCTAATTAAGCTTTTTGCAACCAAATAATTGCAATGTATGGTAAGATAGACTGATTTTTACAAGCACTGCACAAGAAAGCAGGTACCTACCCAGAACTTTAATGTTCCCTCTACAAGTTTCCAGGAACACATAAATTCTTTTTAATGTGATTTAAAGAGATTTAAAGCTATATTCTGAAATGTGTAAAATATTGTTTTGCAACTTAGCAGGATATTTTTTGAAAATGATCTTAAAGTTGACAGACACATTTTATGCACTTTAACCATTTACCAGGTACTTTCCTAGACCCACTATTGACTTTTCTTCAACTCCTTGGTTATTTTTCCATACATTTTTTTTATGGGTTAATTTCCTAAGATACATCAGTTTCTTTCCCTAGCTCAAGTGATATTGTAGAATCCTTTCCTGGATATTTACAAACAATTAATTCCAAAAAAGTTAAAAAACAATCCACTGGATTTTGTTTTTCTAGTCCGAAGACATTTCGCTTCCCATCCAGGAGGCTTTTTCAATTCAAGATGTCAGAATTAGCGTTGAGTTCAGAGCTTTTCATAGTAGCCAAAAAACTTGTTTTAACTTCAATAATGCTTCGAACTCGACCCTAATTCTAACATTTTGAACTGAAAAAACTTCCTGGATGGGAAGAGCAACGTCTTCAGACTTGGAACAAATAAACAAGTCCAGTGGATTTTTTTTTTTTACTTTTTTGAAATGACTATGACCTGGATGACTAAGAGTCTTCACCAGCATTTTACAAATAATTGATGAAATTCAAGAATAAAATCCAAGATTTATACAGGAAAGTAGCTGGTAAATTCTACTGAACTTCTTGGCAAGTTTCTTAAAGTACCTAGAAAGTTTTATGAAAGCATCTGGAAGTTCAGAGAAAGTATGGGCTGTATTATAGTATGATATATAGTATATATTATAGTATGTAGTGTTAGTTAAATGTAAAGTGGTCTACATTTCACTTTTAATAGCACTGAGGGTGAATATCTTTTTGCTTTCTTTTTAAGTGCAAAAGATAAGAAAAGGTCAGATGAAATTATGACAAGTCTAAGAGAGTACCTGAGTGGACTAAACTTCGAGTTCCACAATGCTTCCATTATTACTGGACAGGAGGAGGGTCTGTATGGGTGGATCACAGTGAACTATTTGAAGGGAAATTTCCTAGAGGTAAGGCAAAAGACTGTACTTATTCATTTAATTTTTTTATTTTTTTGTGAAAGGCAAAGGCAGTGAATTTTTCAATGAATGTTTTTACCTAAATTAACCTAATTATATTTGCAGAAAAACATGTGGAACACTTATGTTCGTCCAAATGGAGCAGAGACATTTGGGTCTATGGATCTTGGTGGAGCATCAACACAGATTGCCTTTCAAGTTCAGGAAAAGGGACAGGGGCCTGATTACATGCTTGTTAAACTGTATGGTTACCCTTACACCATCTACACACACAGCTTCCTTTGCTACGGAAAAAATGAGGCTGATAAGAGAGTTCTCGACAAAATAATCAAGGTATGCCGATTGTACCGATATTTACCATAAAGCACCCTGTTATAGTTCTCATTTCTAAATGTTTATAATCCTGATCTGTGTGCAGTGTTCTTTTGTCTGCATGATGCTTATTCTCATCAATTTTCTCCAACCTCGGAGGCCTTGAAAAAAAGCTGCTAATTTTGTGTTGTATATTAAACTTAATTGATTCATTATGCGACTTCTGACAGCAACTGGCCTTGTAGTTTAATCAGAGGTATCTCATAAGTTAGAATAAGATACCCAAAAGTTTGTGGTTATAGTATGACAAGATGCTGACAGGAATATGCAAAGCACATATTTTCCTGCAAATATGGTCAAGCAGGCAACAAATAGTTAAAAATGTATAATAAATAAATAACAGTCATGCTGCATAAATCTGTCAAGCAACATTGGGACCAACTGGAAAAGAAAACAGATAACACCAGGGAGCCCAGACAGGCCTAATTGGCCCAAACATCTCACAAGTGTAAGCACAATAACATAACTATGTTCACATCCAAAGACCTTTTCAAGATTCCTTCAGATTATAGATTCCATTCATGTAAAAGCCAACATCCATTAATGCCCAGTTAGAAATTGATTAGCAAATACTGCTGTTTCTAACAGACAAAGGAAAGCCAGTCAAGAATGCATTATGTCATTAAGAATATTGATTGGAACCGCAATGTCATCCAGAAGCCTGTGTGAAAAGCATAATTTATGGTAACTTAAACCCCAGTTTTCAAAATCTATGAGCCTGTCATCGGGAAAAATATGCTGTGTTGGTAGTCAAAGGAATCAATATTGTATAAGATGTTGTATATGTTGCTTTCAAGGTTTTATAATGCAGAAGATTGCGTTTAGGTATTTGCTTTCTAATCTAATGTTTTCCCTGCCATTTCTTTATCTCCTGTCTTTTCTCTTATTATGTCACTTTCCTCATCCCACCTCTGGTAAACCTTTTTTTTTATTTAATATCTTTAATTTGGATATTTCAGGAATCATCTGACCCAGCCTACATAATAAACCCCTGCTACCCCGACGGTTTCAACTATACAATGAGTGCTTCAGCTATTTATGATACAGAGTGCACAATGAAACCCAAAAACTACAAACCTGATCTACAGTTCTTCATGGTTGGAAAGTCTGATTCCAAGAAATGTGGGGAAATAGTCAAGTCCATATTTGATTTTAAAAACTGCTCCTCAAAAATGTGCTCCTTCAATGGGGTAGAGCAGCCGCCGGTGACTGGAGAGTTCATGGTAACACATGCGGATATTATTCATAATATAATTGTTATGATTGTTTGTACCGTACTAAAAATATATATGTCCTGCATAACTAAATGCTTGCTTCTAATGGTTCTTTTAGGCGTATGCTGGATTCTTTTACATTGCTCGAGCCCTTGGGATGAATGGGACATCAAAGCTTGAAGAGTTCAATATTTCAGTTGGGAACTTCTGCCAGACTTATTGGACAGAGGTGGGTTCCCAACATGGATCTGAAGCTGCAGTAATAAATAAACAAGGAGAAACAAAAGATGAAGGTAGCTAGAGAACACACAAACAAGGAAATAGTAGTGGTGCACAGGTTTGTCAAATTTCATAACTCGTATGTTCAATTCAGTTAGGTTTATTAACTAGGCACTGTCACCATTCCTGTTTAGGATGTTCATTGCCAGAATCTTAGGGTGTAGTTGTTGAATGAAAACTCTGAATCTCAACTTTGTTCTTAAATATAATGTGTTTTTATTGGCTTCATCAGGCCACAACATTCATCTTGCAATTGAGCACTGCACAGCTAAATGTGAAGTAGCCAAGATGATGCCATGTCTGTCTATGTGGAAAGGGTGTACTGTATCTTTAAAGCAAAAGGAGAAGTTGAAATACAGTAGCTCTGTGTCCTGGAGTGATAGTAAGATGGAACTAGAGAACTAAAGATGGATTTAGATTTTGTCTGCAGAAATGCATTTGTTTTAACAGTCTCTAGCGGTGAAGAAATCAATTCACTTCAAAAACACTTTATTAATCCCAAAGGAAAAATCAGTAAAAAAGGATTAAGAGAGAGATGAACCAAAGAGAGAGTGAAACTTTAGATCTTCTGATTTGTCAGCATTTTATGACCTATTCTCATAAAAAGGAAAAAAAAATATATCTATCTATCTATCTATCTATCTATCTATCTATCTATCTATCTATCTATCTATCTATCTATCTATCTATCTATCTATCTATCTATCTATCTATCTGTCTGTCTGTCTGTCTGTCTGTCTGTCTGTCTGTCTGTCTGTCTGTCTGTCTGTCTGTCTGTCTGACTAGTGGCTTAACTTAAGGAGATTCCATTAGAGGAGGTGCTTTAGGTAGATGTTCAGGATGTTCTTTGGCATATCCCATTGGGAATCAACTGGGCAAGCACCACTGAGAGGTAAACTCCTAGCAAGACCAAAATATTAATGGAAGATTATTCAATATCCCCCCTGCACTGGGACACCTTTGGATCTCCCTGAAAGAGTTGGAAGTTGTTGCTGGATAGCAACACTGAAATTTAGGTCTGGGCTTTTCTTGTGTTCCTATTACCAGACTGAGACGCGAAATACAGTGGTTAAATGCATGAGTGAATGGATTTGTAAATGGATGGATGATTGATACTCCCTTGGCTAGCCAATGGTTGTCAGATGCTCAACATAATTTTATTCAGGGATATGGTGTTTTTTCAGACAACAGGGGCCCTACTTCTTGTTAAACCCTAAATCAGAGATGGGCATTGTGGAGTCATCACATGGTCTCCTTGCCATGTATTTGTTCTGGCCAAACACTGAACCAGGTGAGTCCGACCTGTACAATGAACTAAATTGTGGTGATTGGACTCTACTGGTTCAGTATCTGGGCGAAACAAATACATTGCATCGAGATTAGTTGGTGACTCAACAATGCCTATCCCTGCTCTACACAATGATCCACAAATTGATGTTGTAAGTTTCCTTTAACATGTACAGCTTTTAATTTGGGAATCTGTGTGGATTTAAATGCCAGTCCAGCTCTATAAAAAACGTTTTTCTTATTTAATTTTACTTTAGGAAAGCATTTGGTTTAATTTCTGCACTCTTAATCTTGTCAAAATAAATCCTTAACTCAGTGTTTCTTACCTTTCCAGCTAAAAACGAAACATCCTAAAATTAATGAGAAATTCCTCAAGACGTATTGTTTTGCCAGTCACTATGTCCTTACTCTCCTGGCAGACGGTTATAAGTTTGATGAAGAGACTTGGAAAAACATTCATTTTGAAAAAACGGTGAGTAAGGCAACAACCAAAATAAAGCAAAAATATATCATTATTGAACCTTTTTTTTATTATTACTATTAAATGTTTATTTGTCTTTTCTCTTTTTTCTAATATGAGTTCATGCACAATAAATACTACACTGGAAAAAATCAAAATCTAGACAAGTCATTTTTCTTAAATAAGAGCATTTGTTCTGTAATTTACGAAATAAAAGAGACATTTTGCCAATGGAATGAGACAATTTAGATGTAAAATAAGGAAATACAACTGCATTGTCTTATATGAAGTGCATATTATCGAATTACCTTATTTTAAGAGTAGAAACACTTATTCCAAACTCAATTACCTATTTAAATCAAGGGTAAATACACTTAATTTAAGAAATTTTCACTTATTTCTAGATAATTTTTCTAATGTATTAAACAATATATCCATGTTAGGACTAAAGCCAGGTATGAGGGAATTAAACCCACAAAAGCCTTAAACAGAACCCTGGTACCCAAATTTTTCTTCTGAAACAGGAAATGTTTCCAGACTATTGGAATAGAGAGATTTCAGACATGTTACTCTCTTTCCATTTCTTGGTTTGGAAAAAAAGAAAGTGGCTCTATGAGAAATGTGAAATCAAGACTGCCATTTGTCAGTTACTCAGAGCTTGCCCTTTAGATACAAGGCATGTCTGTTCCTTAATTACATAGGCAAAAAAAAATGTTAAGTGTTCTTTGTATGTTATGACTAATCCTGAAGCTGTCAGTATGAATTCATGACCAAAAAATTTTATATTTTAAACTTAAAATGTTTGTAAATGTAATTGCCCATCATGGCATTATTAATTATCTCAAACTTCCTGCACAAACAGTTTGTATCATATTTTTAGTTAATACTTTATTAAGCCACTTTTTGCAGCTGCTGCAGAGCAAGATTTTTGACAATGTTATCTTCTTTTGGTATCTAGTGACTAGTTTTTTTTTTTTTTTTTTTTATATTCTGTGTAAAAGAGCTCATTATGTTGTTGGTATAGAGAAATAATCAGAAATGATAAATGGCCTGTACTCATATAGCACTTTGTTGCGTTATGCCACATTCAGTCATTCACTCACGTACACATCTCCCTCATTTATGTTTTACAGGTAAAGGAAACAAATATAGGCTGGAGTCTGGGCTACATGCTGAGTATGTCCAACATGATCCCATCTGAAGTGAAAGTAATCACCCCAATGACAAACCCAGTCTTTGCTGGCCTCATATTTTTATTTTCCGCTCTAATAATTATAACAGTAGTCTTAGGGTTTATCATCCTCATTCGTACTTGCTACTGATTAAGTGTCAAAGACAACTGTGAATAGCCTCTGGAGATATTTGGTACATTGCTGGAATGTGCTGCAGTAGCATGTGCTGAGGCATGTGTGTGGAAGTTAATAAACAAAGCAAACATGTTTTATAATCTCATGGCTCTGAAGCAAGATTCACATGTAGAGTTTTTGCACTTGGCTTTAAGGTTAAACAATATATTTTCCAACTTTAAACTAAACTAATAAGGATAAAATAAACTATCCCCAATACTAATGAGCAACCTTATTTCAAATGTCTGATACATATTATTGATAAATCTTGTTATCTTGTAATATGCAGTTCAGACGTCGGATAGAGCAGCCTTTACAGAATGCATTTCCTGTATCTCACAGAAGCACAAAGCTTTTTATTTTACCTCAAATCAAACATAAATGAACAGGAGTGAATGAAATAAACATGCATAGGCAAAGATAGGTGTGTCTATCCCCATCTTGAGCCTGGCTGTGAAAAATGCTTATCCTTACCATGTATGGAAAAGGATAATTGTTGGAGGAATACAAAAAGTGAGCTGTATGGAGAGGTTGTGCTTTTTTTTTAACATCTACAAAAAAAGTGTTTTTTAATTTTAGCATGCTTGCCCTTTTTCTTTAGTTTGAAGTTACCAAACTATCACTTTTTCCCATTTGATGTGTATAAGCGAAATTTTGTTTTGTATACACTGTCTATACAAAATGACAATAAGGTATGTCTAAGTCTAAGTTCAGCTCCAAGTAAAAACTTTAAAACAAAATATATCATTGTATTAAATAATTGCCTGTATACTATTCCCATTAATAGACGTTTGAAGTGAAATCTGCATTAACCTAATTGAGGAAGAATAATTTATAGAGTAACATAAAACTACAAAAGCTCATTTTAAATAAATGTAATTGCTCAATATTACTGAAAAAATACTTAAAGGCGCGCCATGTAACTTTTGGCCACTAGGGGCACTAGACCTGTACCTGCCCGTAGTTTGCTTCTACTAAACATAGAAAAGAATAAGAAAGATATATGACTGTATACTAGGAGGAAAGTGTTAACTTACCACTCTAATAATAAAGTTGAAAAAAAGAGAATCAGTTTTACATCCGGCTTCTTCTTTCAGCCTGCGCCAACGAATAAACTCTTTTCCAAGATCGACTCTTGTTTTTCCTCGCGCATGGTCCCTTTCACAATTTCTCATATTAGCCTCCTCAGAAGGTTTAAAATTTTTCCTTGACTCAGCCATGACCAGTAGTCGAGCAGGTGGAAAAATTATAGAGCAAAAACCTTAGCTCCATTACCATAAAAGCAGTGGTGTGAAAAGTACACACATTTGTTACTAAGTAGAAGTACAAATACTGCAGTTTAAAAACACTCAGGTAAAAGTTGAAGTATCAACTTGACCTCTTTACTCAAGTAAAAGTGAAAAAGTATGTGCTTCAAAATCTACTTAAAGTATAAAAGTATATTAACCTTTTAAAAAAACAGCCAGATGCCACTATATCAACTGAAAGCTATATTTTTCAACTATTTGGAATAGATAATTTACGTTTGCAGTTTGAAGAACACCTGCTTGCTTCTGATGGTTTCCTTTAGCTAACCAATCAGTGTTTGCTTTATATGACTCATCCAATTACACTAGTTTTCACTAGATGTGGATGGCGCCAACAATTTGCATTGGATGGCGCACAATAAATATTTATAAACATTAAACTGAAGCTAAGAGTAATGAGTAACTTTTGTCTTAAAAATGTAAGGAATAGAAAGTACAGATACTTGTGTGAAAATGTAACGAGTAGAAGTCAGAAGTAGGAAGAAAAATAAGTAATGGAGTAAAGTATAGATACCTAAAAAGTGTACTTAAGTACAGTAACGAAGTATTTGTAGTTTGTTACTTAAAACCTCTGCATAAAAGCGCCCATGGCTGTAAACAATGTGTTCTTCCAGGTCACATGACCTGGCCAAAGATAGTGCATCTTCTTCAAACTTATATTTTAAGAAGGGAGCCCCGTTTGTATCATTGATAGTGTCAAGTGCTGTATATTGGCCTGAGGAATAATTTAAAATGACTCATATGCATCAACTCTTTGGGTCACAAAGTCTGCGGTGTGCCTTTAGGTAATATTTAGTTATATATATTCAGAATATATTTAGGTAAAGGGTATCTAAATTTCCTCATTAAAGGTGATTTTAGTTCCTGACTTTTGCTTATGGAAGTGTTTCACTTTTCTTTCCTGAGAGTTACACCTAAACTCTTTTAACCCTTATGATGGACACCTGAAGATTCAGTGTATTAAAGGTGAAAATCCCCGTATTATATAAAATGTTTTTCACCTAAGAGACAGATTTCAGGAAAGCTAACCAAGGTTTTTTATTATTGTACCTTTTTTAAGGACTTCTGATAACTGTACCCTAACCTAATATGTGTTAAGGTCTTGCTGATTGTGTTCAGGTATGTCTAACGTATTTTGTTATATGCATATGTTTTATTAAATAAGAGAAATTTCTAGGCATTCACCTAATATGGAAAATAAGGTGACTTATTTCTGGAAAAGGGGCAAAAAATGTAAACTAATTCTTCTAAATACATGCAATTCTACTAGGTAATATTGTAGGATATTTTTTTTATTTTGCTGTCATGCATGTTATTCAATTTGATGCACTTCCTTAACTGTTTCTCTCTGTTAACAAATATAACTGTATAATAAACGTGTCCTCTGACTGCATTTTTCATAGTTGTTATTCCATAACCTTACCAATTAATCCGCCATAATCATTTTGCATAAACTACTGACATACAAAAGGTTTGTATAAAAATATTTGTAAACATAATAGGGTGCACAAAGCTGTTCTAACCGGGTAAAAATGAAGTTTGCATTTCTGTTTTTATTTTTTTATTCTAAAATAATACTTCAGCTACTTCCACAAGTACCAGCTGAGTGGAAAAGCAGATACCAAGGATGCAGAGCAAGAGTAAGGAGAAGGGTGATGAACAGAAAATTGAAGCCAAATCTTCCATAGATCACTATGGGCAATGTGAGATTTTAAAGGACAGCGACATACAACCAGATCAGATTCGGTTTTAGTGACTAAGAAGCCAAGTTTTGCTATAGGCAGTCTTGAAAGACCTCCCCATACTTTAATGATCCATGCATTAAGACTGTTACAACCTTCAAATAACTTCACTTAACATAATTTGACAACTTTGAGGGGCAACATAACTCTGAAGCCTTGAAGACTTGCCGAACTGGAAGGAGGTCAGATCCAAGCAGATGAGGGAAAGCAGGACTTTCCAGAAGGAGAAGCCAAAGCTGATATCCAAGAGATTCAGGAGTCCGATGCCAGAAGATCAGAGATCCGAAGAGGTACCAAAGGGAAAAGGTCAGTTTCAGGAAGCAGATCCCGGTTCAGTCAACAGGCAGAATCCAGCAGGAGTCCGAAGACAGGTCAGGCAAACAGATTAGAACAGGAACAGGCAGGCTTAGAGGTCCAGAGGCAGAACAGGTCAGGATCAGGCACTCAGAGCACAATTAGGTACACTAGAGAACTCTCACCAAATATTTAAATTAAATTAAATTTCTATTATAAATCATAATTGGACAAAACAACAAGCAAACAAGTTTTGTGTTTTTGCCTTCATAAATATGCTGAATATATCCTGATCAATAGAAGATTGTCAGAGTGCAATATACCAGGAGGAGAATATGCAAACCTGCAACATGAGTTATCAAACTTGAAGTAGAGTGCAGTTGTAGTTTCTGGCGTAAAATTAGCATTTTTGAAAATCTGTTGCAACCTTGCATACAAAAATGACTACAGTCTTTGTGATGAGAAAGAGGCACAGGTGCAAAAAGAGACAAAATTATATTAGTAGAAATTAAAATAGTAGAGATATTGTCTTTTGAGCAATGCTATTGTTTGGAACAGCTTGTAGGTAGACCACATTCTTCTGCATTTAGATAGATAATTTCATTGTACCATAGCAGTCAATGGCATCTTTCTGTGTATTTTTCTGGTGTTCTTTTTTTTGTAGTGGCTTATCTGTCAGTGAGTCCCAGGGCTGCTGTGGTTACAATGTATCTTGCCCTCAACGATGTGTGAATGTGTGCCTTAATGGGTGTTAGAGGTCAAATGTCACTGATGAAGCGAGCCAAGCCCCCATGACATCACATCCCTGTGACAGACATTATTCTCTTTGTGCTGTGACCCCCGGGTCTGACAGGTGAGACACACCGGTCTTCAGCTGAAGCCATGTTACATGGCCACCTTTTACACCAAAAAAAGGTGATTTTTGCTGGCAAAAGCAGGCTGCTTTATGCCTATGATTCATAGAGAATTGAATGCAGTGTATTTTCAGTGCAATCCAGCCTGCTTTGAGGTAGATATGGAACAAACTTTTTTCAACTGGTTTAACCTTGTTTGCCACCAACGGACCAGTTCTATCCAGCAGTATAAATTATTTTGGAGGCGCATGACTTGAAAGGGTTGCTGTATAAATGCAGCCATCACCATTTACTGATGAAGATGCCCTTTTTTACGAAGATAAATTTCTTGGTGTCAATCAGTGCTAAAGGAGTAACTGTATCAAATTATGAAATAAATCAATATTCTTTCCATAGTCATCTTAAGGCTGTTCACGCATATACGTATATAGACCTCATTATACTTCATGCAAAAAACATGCCACCATCAACCTTTCAGTTCAGGTTAAAGTTGCAAAGAACACACAGAGAAAAAAGTAATTAATTAAATAGCTAAAAACATAAAATTGGAGATCAGCTGTTCGCTACATTGAACTTAAAACTTTTTAATAAATCAGTAATCCACTATCCTCTTAACAACACTCACATTTGCAAAATCAGAGGACAAATGTCAAAACCAAATGGAGAAAAAATGGTCCATGTTTTTATTTAATTCTTTTTTCAGTAGTTTAGATTTTTGTCAGATAAAAAGTCAGTCTTCTTTCCTCCATTTAAGAAATTGGCTGGTTGAATATCTTAGTTATAGTTTTCCTGTATTTTACGTTGTTACCACTGCAATGCTTTGTGCACAATGGTGGTATAGAAATAAAACTAAAGACTAATAAGGCAGCAAGGATGCGCCATAACCTGGCTATTGATGTACAGGAAACAATGCTGCCCTCCAGTGGTAATATGCTATACAATAAGGAAGACCTGTATTGGCTGTTTAAAAAAATTTATTGAAATTTCTGTTGAATAAGAAAACAAAACAAACAAACTGAAAAAAACACTTGTGAATCTACAGCAACACCCACTGGTTCTACAGACACTCTGCAAATCACAACTTTGAAAGACATTGGAGGCATGTGACAAAACAAATAAAAAAATAGCATCCTCAAAGTTTTTCATCTTCTTTTACTCACCTGTACAAAAAAGAAACTACTCATAAATATTACCTTTTTGTTTCTCGGCCTCCTCTTTTATTTGTGATCGTTTATTTTCCATGAGACGTTTGAGTTTACCTTGTTTTGGTTAAATCAGTTTTTCTTCGTCCTTCTTGTTTTTCAGCCTCCAGTTGGTTTGATTTTGGGGGATAGGTCAACAAGGATTTGGAGTCAGAACCAGTGTGAACCACAGCATGAAGTCAGCTTTTTTTTTTTTTTTTTTTGCTCATCTGATGCACTCGCACTCAAAAAATATTCTGTTCATTTCTTCTTCAATCTTCAGTCTGGCTTGAAATTACAAGTTGTTTTAATGCTCATGGTGCATTTTTTTCCATACATACATGACACATGATTACATCTTTCCCCAATACTGAAAAGTGTTTAGCAGCTTAAATTTAAGTAATTGTCAAAAGCCAGTAAAAATAAAAAAATAGCACAAAAAAATGTTCTGCCCTTGTAGAAGACCATTATAAACTGAAAGGATTTTGCTATGTAAAAGTGCCCTTTTTTGTTAAAAGATTGCGTTTGGAAAAACACACGAAACAGTTTAAGTTCTGTTTGTTTGTTATAGAGGGGCAGTACTTATGTGTAGTCAGTATCTTAACTGCAGCAGACAGCAATTACAGTAATCTCAGTTTGGAGAATCTGAGAAAATTGTAACAAAGAAATTAAGATAACTATTTAGAGAGTTTATACAGGAAATAAAAATCAACAAAACATCTCTGAGTGAAAATGGTATATGTTCACAAGTCATAGCCCAGGAACACAAATTTATTTAGCTGTTAAAAGTGATGTACTGTTAATTAAATATAACAAGTACCCTGCAAATATGTAAAATAAAATTACTCAATAGAGAGTATATCTCTATTTTAAAAACAGCTGGTAAAGTTCTGATTTTCCAAATTATAATAAACCACAACCTTATTAATGTAACTACCTTGATTTTATTAATCTCTCTTATGTTAAAGTCTGTTTTTTCTCAGATTTTTATTATTTGAGAAAGTCTTTGCATTTATGACACAGTAAAACATAACCCCAAATATTTGCATTATACAGCTGATCAAGCTTGATTATCTAATTAAAACATATTGTTTTATTAATATTTGATATTGAGAGTTGAACATTAAACTATTCAATACATGACAATATAATAGACATATACTTAGATAAACCTTCCAATTATTTAATTATTAAGAATTATGATTAGAATTGATTGTTTTCAATAAGTAAAATGATCCAAAACTTTACAATGAACATTGATGTGATTTGTTTTTATTTTTTATTTTTTTTTTATTAGGCTGGTGGACAGGCTTGGGTTCTGATTTTCTATTGATAGTCAATATATTCTATTTAATTTGTTCTAAAGTAAAAATATTGTTAATTTATTTTATTTCTGGCTGCTGTCTTCTGCAGTTAAGGTGCTGGCAGGGTATAACTACACATCAGTACGATGCTTTAAAAGAACAAATGCATTTTCTAAATGTTCAGTTTGTATTCTAAATTACATTGTTTTGTGTCCTTTTTAACAAAATGTCGATTCATTTTCAGCATCTCAGTTTGATGAAAATAATAATAGTTGATAATATTACAAAGCACAATTTTGTAGAGAAAGCTGTGGATCTTAATTCATTATGAGTTCAATATGACAAATTAAACTTCACTTCTTATTGAGGCAGTTATGTTAAAGAATTACTGCATGTTTTATTTTAATCTCATAAGCCAAGATGCGGCACCTTATACTGTAGGTCAAAATCATGATAAGAAAAAATGTATTTCACTTTTAAAAGGGAAAAAGTGAACAAACACAAGGAAGATTTCTATGTCATTTCTTTGTCTTTGGTATAAAATCTGCCATCTGCCGGCAGCGTTTGTTCAACTGTTGTCAAAGACTCAAGAAACTGTTGACAGCTGTACTGAAACTATTGCTTATCACACATGTAGAAACCCTATCATTTGAAATTTGGTTGTTGATTAAGGTTTTTCTGTTCTCTGTTGTGAGACAAAGAAAGCATAAAAAAAACATTATGACAGCAATGAAAGTTCCCCCAAACCTGAAAACAACAAAATGAGATTTTCTCTCCCCTCCATTACATCCAACCTCAATGCCCAGGAAGCTGGAGATCAACTCTTTCAAAATAAAAATAAAAAAACACACATTTTTTTTCATATATTCCATTGACATTTTCTGCACCTCGCCACTTATCATTTTCATACAAATGGAATTATTTTTTTTAAACCTGTACAGATAGTTTTGCTCTCCTCTCTGAGGCTCCCACAACACCTCAAATCATTTTTTAAGAATGTAACACTATGCAGTCTTTTTTTCCCCAAAGTCTGAGAAAATTAAGGCAATAAGAATTTAAGAAAACATTGATTTTCTAAAAAAAACAAACAAAAAAAAACTACTCAAATAATAAAAGAATGAAAAGAACAGCTTCATTTCAGAGGAAGACAGTGTGTTTTCTTCTAGACATTGCTTCCTTTATTTTTTTGATAAAAAAGTCAAAAATTCTACCTGCACATTCAAATGAAATCTTCTTTTTTTCTGTACAGTTGGATGAGTTCTGATTTAAGTCTTTTATATATATATATTTATATTTTAATTCCTCCAGAGGGGAAAAAAACAGTCTCAAAATGTGAAATAATCAATCAGTCTTTGACTGGGATTGATTTCATTGTCTTGTAGTTCAACAAACATTCTTTGTTTTTTTTCTAGCTGTCTTTGTCTTGGTTCAAACAGCTATGAAGGATAATTAGCTTTGTTCAGCATTTATTTGGTTCCTGTGAAGAGTGGAAGTATTTTTCCTGTCCGTGACGTCCAAATCACTGCTGTGTTTTTGTCCTCTGTTGTAATTTGATTCTTTTTCTGTCTCCATCTCCGCCATGCAGTCCCTCTAAAGGCAATGCAGCAATGATTTCTACCAAGTTCATTACCTGAATGAGAAAGAAAAGTCAGAAAAATTTAATGGCTAAAACATCTTTTAGTAACACAGCAAGTCAGAAATAAAAGAGAATAGAACATAATAGAATAGAATCATCGTTTTGTAATCCCATGATGGGAAAATTCCTGTGTGTCATCAGCAGGGGAAATAGGGTAGAATTAAAGCATACAGCTTGACATCAAAAGTAAAAAACGATGAAAATAAAAGCTAAAATAGAAAGTACAGCAAAGGGAAGTAATAGGTTACTAGAAATGGAACACTGAGTGTAAATATATACATCTGCAAAAGAAGAGTTGTGAATTAGTGGCTGTACAATATCAGACGTTGCTGTAACAAACCTATAACAAAAAAAGATTGAAAAAAAAAAGAAAAAGTGCAAAAAAAAAACTACTTGGAAAAAAACATTTATTGGACTTTTTGTGAGCAGTGAAGATTAAAAGTTTGGGTGGGAAGGATCGTTAATAGCACACCTTATATTGTCCCCTGAAAGTTCAGCTTTCCCTCACAAAACAAGCTCTCCACTTCTACAACTGTGTTATGCATGGAGTGAGACACGCTTTTCAGTATTTTGTTGAAATTTTATCTGTACTGTGACCAGGGGGCATCATAGGACAGAGTTGGCCTAATGAGCTTATCTAACCACTTCCTCTTTGCTGCAGATAAGCTTCTGCTCCAACATAACACACCATAGAAGATTGCTGATGCCACTACGGAATCAAAGTGTTGACATGTTTCTTGGAAGGCAGCAAAAAAAAAAAAAAAAAATTCCAGGGATGCTGCTTTATATTTACTTTACACTTAAATACCTACACTGCAAAAAAAAAAAAAAAATGAAATCTTAAGTAATTTTTTTCTTAAATTGAGGAGGTAAGTGAGACACTTTGCCAATGGAACAAGACAATTAACATTTTAAATAAGAAAAAACAATTGCATAGTCTTAGATTACTGTAAGTAAAGTTATCAAATTATCTTACCGGTATTTTAAGAGTAAAAATATTCATTCCATTGACAAATCCTTATTTACTTACTTAAATGAAAGGTTAATAAGATTAATAAGGTTAAGAAATGTTTACTTATTTCTAGATTGAACCCCTATGCTACTAATTTGGTCAGAAAGCAGAAGCTGTAAATGTGGATAGTTTTTGTTAAATGAAAAATATAAGCCTTAGGACAGTAACTGAGTTCAAGAAAGACTGGTAGCCTTTTCTCAGCTACCCTCTTTTCTCTACTTTTGATTTCATAATTCAGACACAGAGCCACTATATAATGTGCAATGACGATAACGAAAACTGATGAGTTAACATGGATCTTTGTTGTGAATTTTCGTCAACAAGACGAGACGAAATAAAAATGTTAGTGGTTGGTCGGGCAGACATTTAAAGTGCATAATTATGCTGTAATCTGTTACACAAACTAAGCAGTTTTAGCTGTGCTGCTGCAGCCTGTTTGGTCAAGCCGTCTACCTGGTGTGCAATGGTGCATATTCTGCATGACAACAGATGGAGCGTGACAGCAGCGGCAGGGGAGAAAATAACCTGTAATCGTTCGGTTCTGCGCGCTTAATTCTGACAAACTCTGATCTTCCAGCTGTGCTTGTGCAGAAATGCACAGTGAGTCACTGATATGATAGTTCACTCTCAACAGTATGGCTCTTCAAGCCCTCTCTACTCAATAAACTATATGTGGCTGATCATCCTCTGCCAAGTGTAAAAAATCCCTTTGTCTAACTATCCAGATTTTATTTCTTCCAACTCACAAGAGGTGATGCTAAACACTGTTTAATTTCTACCAAAAGGAATCCCTAAATTATATCCAAAGAAAATATTTCAATGCATACTGTTTATATTTGGATAAAGACCGAGGTGAAAAGATACATCGATCTTTGAATATTTCTTTCTCATAGTTCCCGTTTTTATCTATTTAAATATGATGTAAATGTTTCCCTATATTGTCATCAAAACATCTTCTCTGTTCTCTCTTTGAATATGTCAATATTTTGGTAGGATATTCATTCAATTTAGTGCTGGATTACCATAAGGCAATTATGTAGGTTCTCTATGTATTTTTTTTTTATATCAAAACCCTGTGAAATTAAAACTTCTTTGACCCCTGAGCAGTGGTGACATAGGGAAAAATTGAAGAAATAAATCCAAAATTGCCAAAATAGGAAGAAAAATGTTTTTGTACTTTGATTTTTTAGAGCAATGAAGATTTTGTTGATCTGTTTGTAATGCATAATTGATAGTAGATCAGGAAGTGTTTACTTTTGAATGGAAACCTTGTATGTCTAAAACAATTCCTTTATTGTACATTTTCTTAGCTTCTCTGTCTGCTTTATTAATCAATATGATGTGATGAACTAGATCTGCTATTTCCACAGTTTTTGTGACACACTTTTGTATAAAGTATAGCATTAATTCATAAAATAGTTCATTGGAATTCATTAAATCTAAATTTTCTTCCCAACAGCAATGATTAACTGCACAGCAGCATTCTACATTCAGCGATTGTACTATCTAGGCAAGAGCTGTCAGTCTGGTAAAGAATCTGGTTGTTATTTAAAATTGTAAAGGTTTACTTTTTTTGCAACATAAAACTGACTAAAACTAGACTAAAAACTTTTAAGTTAGACTAAAACTAATAATATTTTTGTCCTGAAGACTAAGACTAAATCTAAGATTGCTGTCAAAAACAACACTGCTTCCATGTCTGCATTTGTACATATATATGAATTGACTGGCCTGCACAAAGTTCCAACTCATCCTATATAGCACACATTTGAGATTAATTAGAACTGATACTGCAACGCTGTTTTTCTCATCTACGTAACAATGAACATTCTCCAATAACTGTGAACAATCCTCACAGAGGAGGTAAATTTGCTGTTTTAGAAAAAGGTATTGATTAACAAATTGAACGCCATAGAAAAGATTGAGATGTCAGTTAATGTTAATGTGCATATATAAGTAGAGAGACAAATACAACATGGTGAATATCAATGACCTTAAATCAACAGCAGACTTGATTAAACCAAAATTTACTCCAATTAATCTATTTACAATCACTAAATGCTGTGATCATTTTTAAAGAAAGTTTAAATTAAATTCATTTTTTGCTTATTTTCTAAGCCAAAAAAAAAAAAAAAAAAAATGATACAAAGCAGTAAAAAGCCCAGAAATGTGCTAATTAGCTTGTAAAATATTTCATCACTTGGATTAAAAAGTATTTCCACATTGCTGTAAAAGAAATATTCTAAGTTATTATATATTCTTATATAATTTATATATATATATATATATATATATATATATATATATATATATATATATATATATATATATATATATATATATATTCTTATTTATTATTTCATTATATTTTCCTTAATTCTATCTGGTAGTGTAAAACACTGAAATTGTTTTCTGACTACCAGGGAGAAGCCCTCCAGATATACATTAACATTACAGCTTCTGCTATAAGGCTAGATAATAATCTAATGGACACTTCTCCAGACTATTCTATTTTATTTTTCACTCAGATTCTAGCTGATTCACACCCCATTAATCCAAACAAACCATTTTTAGAACCAGACTACCTCTGTATCTTATTTCATCTTGTTTTGTTTAATTTTCAAGAAAAGAAATGTAGTTCTATGCCTAAAAAGACTCAATAAACTCACTTTGTCTGCTGGTAGGAGTAGGCTGTGGCATGATCTGCTGAGCTCTCCACTGATAAAGGCTGCTGCCCACTGGTGTCCTGTGAGGAGGGGGCAGTTGTCTGTGGAGATGGGTCTGTCACCACACCCTGATTTGACACCCAGTGGAAGAAAGGCAGTAAAAAATAACTTCGTTCACTGAGAGAAAGATACGCTTTGTACATTTCTAAGTATGGCATTCATTTACAAAGCGGAAAAAAGCCTAAATAATCCAAAAGTGTTCTTTCTACTAAAATTGACAACCATTAATATCTTAATATTAAGTACATCCAAGATCTTAAAATATAATATGAAATTCAATTAGAGTTGACACAAAGATACTGCCATTTTTCTGACTTTACAATAGAACGATAAATAAGCTCTAAGTAGATACAGTAGCTGATGGATTTGGTTCTTACATCCACTGTAATGGCAGAGGCAGGCACTGCAGTGTACTGGGGAATGTAGGTTCCTTGCATAGGAGCAGCCGCTGCAGCAGAGATGTACTGCAGAGACACAAGAAGGGGCACACACTAAAATAACAGTGCAAACATGTTTCAGGTAATCTGATTACCTGATTGATAGCAGCCAACAATGAATAATAAAGACATTTTTTTCTCTCTGTAATCTAAGCTGTTGTAAAAGCATGCCAAAAGAAAACTAAATCGTGTTTATTAAAAACCCATGGTGCTTGTTTGGCTGTGTGACAATCTCAATGCTTTTCAGACAATTTGTTACCTTTTTTGCAAAATAACTGAAGCCAAGTAATATTGGATGAGTGTGTCAACAGCAATTTTCTTCTCTTAAGCAATTTTCTTTCTTCCATTATTTTACTAAATCATTTCCCTATAACTCAGCTTCAGACTGTATGATGCTGCTACCACAATGAGTTAATATACAGATAGTATGTTCATAATAGGACATTGAAACAGAGACTCACAGCGCCTGTTGGGCCCAGAGAGAGGTGGTTCATCTGCTGGGTGAGAGGAGCCATGACACTGGATGGGTGAAGAGACAAGCTGGGCTCTATGGCCGTGGCTGGGGTTATCACAGCACCCTAATTAGGAAGCATAGTTAATTACTTTCACAATACTGTTCAGTTTTTAAATAATGACAAAAACAAAATCCTGGTGGAGTCTAATAATTCACTAATCACGCACACACACATATTCATCTGTCTGTCTCTCCAAGGTTAAAGCTAAAGTGGTGCTTGAGGTGGTGAAGAAAAGAGAGGAAGCTAGAAGGGGTGGAGCCTGAGATTTCTGAAATGGCAATTCCATGTTCTGTTCTTGCTCTAAAAAATCTGCAATATCTTGGAGATATTGGAACAAGATATCTATATGATTCATATGTGCATTTTTTAAGTCAATATTTAAAAATTTTAACTCAACCTCATGGCTAATGATATCTGATTAATCCCACTTCCTGTATGCCATTAAAGAAAGGAATAAGTAAATCTGTTTGTGGCTAAAAGTGTTTTTATATTTCTCCAGGAATAAATTAAATTAAATTAAAGCAATTTAAAAAATTTGATGCCAAAGCATCACACACAGTAGGTAAAAAAAACAACAACATTTGATCTCCATTAACTTTTTTTTGTACTTTCATATTACAGTTTAACTACAAATACTTGTTAGTGGAATTTTAGAAAGTGGATAGGCATAAAGCAGGTCAAGATACTAGAGAAGAAAGTATTTTTTTTATTTAAGATTATCTTAGTCAATAATTTGTTATTTGTTGCAATTTAACCTTTTTTTGGGGCGGGGGGTGGGGGGTCTCTGCAAAACTTTGCATGTTAAGAGAAGGAAATTGTCCTGAACTGTATTTAGTTTCTTCCATCTTCTAAAAACCTTTGAACAACTTCTATTCCAATGATGAAGAAAACCACCAAGTTTACCAAAAAGGAATGTCGAAATCAGTGCTGATGGATTTTTTTTACACATAATAATGACAATTAAATGGTCTCATCTTACCAACGCACCTTCTTCATCTTTTTTTACCAAGCTCTTTGAATAAAGCAGCACTTCCGCTTTTCTTGCAACAAACAGTTTTTTCTTGCCACTCTTCTCTAAAGCTCAGTTTTTTGGACATTACAACTCAAGTACTCTAAAAACGAATGCAAGTATGAGATAAGGTAAGCTCTTTAAGTAATTTCCTGACATTTGTTTTAGGTATACATGATTCATTTCTGCAAAATGACTTGAACATCATTGGAAATAACATAACTGGAAGTGTTGGAGATAAGCCCTTTTCATATCTTTAAACACTATGAAAAAACAAAACAGAACAAAACAAAGAAGGTAATTGCAGCCTTAGCATCTAAAGCTTACAGGGTGTGTTCCCAAAACTGCTAGAGCTTGGCATAGCAACATGGCAACCTAAGATGATCTCTTGTTTTGCAAGCCTCGCCCCTCATTACATGTATGTTCTTATTTTCACAATGTAGCATTTCACAGTCAAAAGCTAACGTTTGACTGCAGGGTTGCTGTTTATTTTTTCTGGAGCCTGCACTTTATATGTGAATTAGATCAGATACCCAAAAACTAACAAATATGAAACAGGCTGTAGAGTAGAAACAGACACAAAGACATAATGGTTTGCATATACCTAAACAGCCTGGAGCAGCTTCAAGAAAAGCTTCTCACCGTCCATAAGCAGCTCAGCAAAAGCAGGTTTTTTTTCTACCTTGTATCTTAAGAAGGGTCTAAAATTTGCATTAATCTGACTGAGCTAATATGGGGGCTGTTTAAATATGCATGTTGGGAGGAGTAGTGACATCTGACAAGGGAAGAAGCAGTCAGTGAAGGATCTGCAGACATCTGTAATCAAGAGATTGTAATTCTGCATTAATGTTTTCAACAACTGTTACCAATAATACATTACCTTTCAAAAGTTCTTGAACCATTCTCCTTATGCATCTTATTCAGCATGTTTCATTTGAATATTATGAGATTGACTGATTCAAAGCTGTGCAGAATTGTGAACTGAAAGGATAAGAATGCGTAATTTAACTATTTTATAAAGAAAAATGGAAAATAAAATGGATTATATTACACGCCACCGACTCATGACATTGAACATCTAGGGATTTATAATGTTGCTTATTTTCCTTAATATAATAGACTAATTATAATGTTGATATTAGGCTATTCTAGCACATTAATGTTTGTCAATTCAAACCAGTCCAGGATAGATCTGACTGTATGTTCAGGGTCACTGTTTTGCAAAAACCTGAATTCATCCTTGCATTTAGCTTCACCTAATTGCTATCATTAATCTGTTTTATTATTGCTCCCCTAAATGTCCAGTCTTAGTTTTGAAATGGACATAGAATTTTGCATGTGAGCAAATTCCTTTAATTTAGGTGTCATCTCATCAGAACAACTTCCTCCACATTATTTGTCGCTTTCTCTCTCTACATGGCTTGCAGCAAACTTTAAATGAGATCTTTAGAAAAATGTCTTTCTTCCTCCCACTCTTCAATAAAGGCAAGATTTGTGGATTGCACAAATAATACTTATCCTGTCAGCAGATTCTAATACTTGAGCCTTAGACCTTTGAAGCTCAGACAGAGTTACAGTATACCTTTTGGCTGCTTCACTGATAATTGCTTTTCTTGTCAAGCCTTTTCAGTTAAGAAATAAAGATAACAAAGTTTTGGTAGGTTTACAATAAAAATCTTATTAGCAATTACGTGAGATAAAAATGTCACAGGCTGAGGCTTAAATAATCTGAAAGAAGTACAAAAAATAACTAGTTCAGTTTGCTATCCTGCAACTTTCAGATTTCTCCTTGATCCAAGGAATGAATTGACAGGCTGAATTGCCCCCTTAAGTATACAGTCAATTTCTATAGAGTCCTCTTAATCATCTAATTACTTTAATCAGGTGTGTTAGACCACAGACATACTGTATATAGAAGTTGCAGGATACTGGCCCTCAGGAAATGGAATTGCCCACCCCTGTCATTCAGGTCCGAATCTCAGTTTTAGTTATTCTGTGTAAAAGTAACTTTTTATCTACTTAAATATAGCTTAAGTTTTATTCTTATCCCTTAAAAAAAAATCATACAGCAACTCCAAATTGTTCTTTACTGTGAGTGGATGAAAGCATCCTTTGGCTGCTGGGATAGCGGCTATTTTTATTTGTTTAAATACAGCCAGGAGAAGATGTTCGGACTCCCAGGCCTTGTTAAACATGATGACTACAAATGTTTTGACTTTGTATACTGAAATAAAACAAGTCAGCTGGCTTGCCAGGCAGGCTTGACAGCACCTGCATGTGAAAGGAGAGAGGCTTTTACAGTAAATCCTATGCATGTGAAAGGCTTTGATACTGTCTAATACCTTGATGCTCTAAGCTGTGTTTTCCAATACAGAGCGGCTACAACCTGTATGGCTCTGCAAAAAGACTTAATACAAGACTTCTTACAGCATGTGCTGATGTGCCTGACAACATCCCAGCAGATGTAAACACTGCTCATCCATGATAACTGTTTACCTACACACCCCATGAGAGCAGACACAATCAGCAGTGTCGGTGCTGCTTCAGAGGGCTGTCAGCACCTCCACAGATGCAAGTTGAGGCAGGGTTGAAGAACAGCACATCTAAAAGTTTTGCATTTTAGAATAAAGCCCTGCAGCTGGCAGAAATCTGCTCTGTAGTGGCTTGGATGCACCTTTCTTAATGTATTTTCTCCTGTTTTCAATGTATTTACAGTCTGTCAGCTTAAAACACTTGAACCGAGAAACTTAGATCACAAGTATGCCCCCTAGAAAAATACAGAGATTGCCAAAGCTGTTAACAGCGGTGATTTGCACGTCCAAGAATCTGCTGTATTTACAGGGAGATCTGCTCAGGGAATACAGCTGCATAGTTTTAAGAAATGCTTTGCAAACCTTGTACCCAGAATCACAATCTAATCAGCATATCTCTATGGGACTTGGGGGAAAAAATGCTAACAGATGCATCAACAGATTTCCTGGAAAGATTTTTATAAAAAAAGCTTTTTTCTCTGACCGGCATTTTTACCAACCACAATCCAGCTAACAACCAAGGTTTTCATCCACCTCAATAAACTGATTGCTGTCATAATGACTTTTCCTTTTTCTATATTCAGTCTCCCAGCAGGTTCCCACGGAGAGAGAAGGAGCAGCACGTAGAAGGAGGAGAGCCATAATGAGTAACTGCCTGCTTTGATTTATAGCTGTACGCGAGTTAAACTGGCTATCTCTGCATGTGCCTAAATGTGGACACAATGCATTAGCTGGAATGTGATGAGACTACATTGTAGAGCATGTGTTGGTGTGAATGTTTCCTTGTGTAAGACATTGCTGCTGGGGTAATAGATAGGCAAACAAGGCAGAGCGACATGAATCTTTTCCCTAAGGAAAGGTGAGTTTGAAATAAATCCCCTCTCATTTTTGTTTCTTTTCATTGTCTTTATTCCTTAAAATAAGTAATGCAGATGAGCCGAAGGCAGACCTATTTCAAATGTTTAAAGCCGTGCATGTTGTAGGAACGAAACAGCTTCAAAGACATAACATAAGGGATAATAGCATGCCATAATAGAACACAAGAAATTGCTGCTTTGTCACGACCCTTTGCGTGTAAGCATGCAAAGAATCAAAGTTCCTGCTTAGTCTGTGTGCTTTTATGTCCAGATGGTTTCATTGTCCCCAAAAACTTCCTCTCAAAAAGATTAAATCCACCCTGACTGTGTCTGCTTATACACAGAGAAGGAAAGATGATTTAAAAGGTTCCTACACAACAGAAACTGCTTGGTTATGGTTTTTATATCCACCTGCATACATGTATGGCTGACACAAGCAAAATAACAACATAAAAAAGAGGGACAGAATCTGTTTTGCATACTTACATACTCTTAGTAAGGGTGTTTTATTACAGTAAAATGATTGAACCTTTAATCCCAGTACTAAAATTCATTTTGCTAAAAAAGTATGCTAGCAAACACTTGTTTTCAGCAGAAAGTACTAGCACTGGTGCCCCATCTGCAACACAGTTTGCTAATAGAACATTTTGTCTTTCTACAAGCTCA